ATTTAAAAAAAAATTTATATTAAAACATATTTAGATTTTATGCCAGTTTTTTTTTATTTACTAAAGAGGTCTCCAAATTTGTAATTTACTAAGGAGAGGCCCCCAAATTTGTAAAATCTTGAGGCCCCGTGGGAGATTTTCCCACTAGGCTTACTGGCCAGTCCGCCCCTTTTACTGACAACATCATTGATCACTTATAAACAATGACATATATAATACCTAGACTGACGATTCATTCATTAAAATGCATTTTTAAGCATCGTTAAAAGCAAATCAGCTGGACCCGCCATTTTGGTAACACTTATAGTAATTATTCTCATGTTAAAAACTACTATTATATTGATAACTTGCTTCCTTATTATCTCGATGATCAGGTAATTCTTTAATAAAGTTTGCATCAGATATAGGAATAAATTAGGCTCTCGTTTAAAATTTTAATAATGATTAGTGTAACAAAGATGGCGTCTCTAGCTGATTCACTTTTAAAGAATGAATCGTTAGGTATTATATATGTCATTGGGGTGTAACTAAACTAAGAATTAACTGGTAAACTGAGAATTAACAGGTAAACTGAAAATTTACAGGTAAAATTTATTTATGGCCTATCAATTATATTTTAAAAACTTAAAAAAAAGAAGGTTTTTATTATAAAAATCAAATTTATCCAAAATTAAAATTATCTAAATATATAAATTAGAATAGAAAAGATATTGTAGTCCATAAATTTATAATATGTATAACAGATCTATTATATAGAAAATAAAACACCCATTATATTTTATATAACATAAATAAAATTCCGCTAGATGACGTAAATTATTAAAATTTTAGTTTTTAATTAAAAATAATATGAATTATAGGAGCATAATTCTTCGCTCTGGATTAATTTATTTGGTAGAAAATAATATAAACATAAAATGAAAAAAAATTTAAGATCCAATCATTATTTTTGGAGTTATGATGTGAATTCTCAGTTTAGTCAATTTTTTATTATTTTTGGGATTTTAAAAATATTTTATTTTTTTTGACTCATTTGGTGTAAACTAACTTATATAAACATAAAATGAATTCCATCATTATTTTTGGAGTTATGATGTGGATTCTCAGTTTAGTCAATTTTTTAATTTTTTTAGATTTTTGGGATTTTAGAAATATTTTATTTTTTTGATTCATTTGGTGTAAACTAACTTATATAAACATAAAATGAAAAAATTTTTAAGTTTTTACATCATTATTTTTGGAGTTATGATGTGGATTCTCAGTTTAGTCAATTTTTTAATTTTTTTTTAAATTTTGGGATTTTAAAAATATTTTATTTTTTTGACTCATTTGGTGTAAACTAACTTATATAAACATAAAATGGAAAAAATTTTAAGTTTCCATCATTATTTTTGGAATTATGATGTGGATTCTCAGTTTAATCAATTTTTTAATTTTTTTTAAAATTTTTGGGATTTTAAAAATATTTTATTTTTTTTGACTCATTTGGTGTAAACTAACTTATTTAAACATAAAATGAAATTTAAGTTTCCATCATTATTTTTGGAGTTATGATGTGGATTCTCAGTTTAGTCAATTTTTTAATTTTTTTTTAGATTTTGGAATTTTAAAATTTTTTATAATTTTTGACTCATTTGGTGTAAACTAACTTATATAAACATAAAATGAAAAAAATTTAAAGTTTCCATCATTATTTTTGGAGTTATGATGTGAAATCTCAGTTTAATCAATTTTTTAATTTTTTTTAGATTTATGGGATTTTAGAAATATTTTATTTTTTTTGACTCATTTGGTGTAAACTTACTTATATAAACATAAATAAATGCATTATTTTATAGTTGGAATCGGAAAACTAGTTTACTTCAATTAAAATTTAGGGGCCCTTAAAAGGGCCGTTGGGTTGGTCTTAAAAAAGACCGATGGGTATTTTTACATCATAAAAAAAGAGTAATAAAATTTTTAGACCAATTAGAAATAGCAATACCACAAATATTATTAATTATAATTTTATAAAAAAAATTAAGATAAATATAAACTCATTATAAAGTTTCATAAGAAGATAAGAAGGTTTCTTTACATACATATATCAATATTTTGTAAAAGCCAGGAGGATCGATAATTGTTAAAAATATATAAATTATTTTTTATAAATATAGGGAGAATTATTTAATTAATTATTGGATATATTAATTGTTGGAAATTAGAGGTTTATAATAAAAAACATATAAATCTATGGTCTTATTGTTTTCGTTCTTTCCGCTTTGGCTCTTTTGGCTTGATTAGGTTTTTTTGATCCTAAAGGTTTCATTATAGCTAATTGACCACATGTTGAGGTAATTAGTTTTCCATTACTATTTTCTTTTAATATTTTCAACAGAATTGCCTTATGTTCAGCATCTGTCATCTCAGCCCAGCTCTGATGCATGGATGATATATCTAATGCCTTTTTTAGATAATAAGGGCCCAACCCACATATGGCTCTCTCGAAGTCTTTTTCCTGTATTAAAATTATATCATTTATTTTATTTATCATTATATGTAAAGGAGTTTTTTTCCAATCAAATTTTGTTTTTAATACATGATTTATACTTTCATAATTATTGTTGGTGTAGGGTGTTAAAATTATTTTATTTTTTAAAGGTAAATATACCATATTATATAATTTATCTATCAAATGATTATCTAAATATTTTACAAATTTCGTATAATTTTTATTTAAGAAAAATTGTTTTAAATTATCTGTATTTTTTTTAAAGATTTCATAGGTTAATTAATATATTATTCCATCTTTATTGAAAATAAAATTTATTATTATGTTTCTAATTTTTATTTCAACTCCTTCGTTATTAGTTAAAAAATGAATTACATTTTCTTTAATGTGTTTAGTACATAAAAGATGGGTTGAATTTATAAAATTTCTACTCAAGGCCGATACCATCCCCTTCTCCGTCACTCCTAAAAATTAAATTATTTAAGGGTATACGATTTTTTTAAAAAATTGATTCAAGGTGAGAGAAAAAATTATTAAATGTTTGATAATCCGAATTACTGTGTAAAAATATAGGTCCTAAGAAAATTGGATGATCGTGTAAATGGTGAGTTTTTATACATTTATGTTTAAAAACGATGCATGTTACAAACAATTCTCCTAAAAGTTTTATTTATACTTATAATGCTAGGATTATTATTTGAGCAGATATATTTAATGTTATCTATCATGAGGGGAGTATATAAAATAAGAGATATTACTTTATCGGGGCTGATATCAACCTTTTGTACCAATGGGTATTTATACATGTTTTTTAAAATATCAAGAGCTTGATCAGCAAAATTAGACAAGTATCCTGATTCATTTTTGCTTAAAAGATTATATTTAATATTAGCTATTTGTTTTACATTTCGAGGTCCTATTATATCACGATCTTCAATTAGTAATTCTTGGTAGATATTACTAGGTGTTTGGTACTTTACTTTATTAGGAATTGTTTTGTAAACGCAACGCGGTGTGCGTAAATATATAGATTGAGATATTTTCTTATTGCCATGAGTTATTTTACCAGGATACTCACATAAATATTCGGCAATAAAAATATCGTGTAATTGGTTAACTGATGATGACATATTAACCAAATAAGAAATCCTTCTCTTATATTTTTCACAATTTCTTAACGCACCACTATAGTAACGATGAAGAATTACCATATCGTCAATATTTGGCTGAGGCTCAAGTAATTCTAAATTTTTATTATTTTAATTTGTTTTTTTTAAAAAAATAAATTATTTTTATGAATATATGGGCCAAAAAAATCAAAATTTTTTCATTTTATGTTTAAATAAGTTAGTTTACACCAAATGAGTCAAAAAAAATAAAATATTTTTAAAATCCTAAAAATTTTAAAAAAAATTAAAAAATTGACTAAACTGAGAATCCACATCATAACTCCAAAAATAATGATGGAAACTTAAAATTTTTTTATTTTATGTTTATATAAGTTACTTTACACCAAATGAGTCAAAAAAATAAAATATTTTTAAAATCCCCAAAAATTTAAAATAAAATTAAAAAATTGACTAAACTGAGAATTCACATCATAACACCAAAAATAATGATGGAAACTTAAAATTTTTTTCATTTTATGTTTATATAAGTTAGTTTACACCAGATGAGTCAAAAAATAAAATATTTTTAAAATCCCAAAAATTTTAAAAAAAATCAAAAAATTGACTAAACTGAGAATCCACATCATAACTCCAAAAATAATGATGGAAACTTAAAAGATTTTTCATTTTATGTTTAAATAAGTTACTTTACACCAAATGAGTCAAAAAAATAAAATATTTTTAAAATCCCCAAAAATTTAAAAAAAAATTAAAAAATTGACTAAACTGAGAATCCATATCATAACTCCAAAAATAATGATGGAAACTTAAAAATTTTTTCATTTTATGTTTATATATGTTAGTTTACACCAAATGAGTCAAAAAAAATAAAATTTTTAAAATCCCAAAAATCTTAAAAAAAAAAACTTACTAAACTGAGAATTCACATTATAACTCCAAAAATAATGATGGGATATTAAAAATTTTTTCATTTTATGTTTATATAAGTTGGTACCAAACCAATTAATCCAGAGCGAAAAATTATGCTCCTATAATTCATATTATTTTTAATTATAAAAACTAAAGATTTATTAATTTACGCCATCTAGCGGAAGTTCATTTATGATATACAAAATATATTTTGGGTGATATATTTACTATATAATAGATCTGTTCTATACATTATGGACTACAATATCTTCTATATTTTAATTTATATTTAAATAATTTTAATTTTGGATAGATTTGATTTTTACTTTAAAAACATTTTATTTATATATTTAAAAATAATTGATAGGCAATAAAATAAAAATCAATTTTACCTGTCAATTCTCAGTTTACCTGTCAATTCTCAGTTTACCTGTCAATTCTCAGTTTACCTGTCAATTCTCAGTTTATCTGTCAATTCTCAATTTAATTACACCGATGTCATTGCTTAGTATAAATAAGTATAATTTGGTCGTTGTTTAGTAATTTATGTTAAGATCCTATCCTTGTTCAAAATCATATGGAACTTTATAAAAATGGCACTTGTTATATTTTTATCAAACGGTGATGGGCTGAGTCTAGATTTAAACCCTTTAATTGAAGTTTCTCTACTTGTGCAGATCATATGCGAGCATCTAAAGATATCTAATAATGGAGAGTTATTTACATTATGGTTAATTTCTCCTTTATTAGGTTATAATTAGATTTCTATCTTACTTAAAAAAAAAAATTATATAGAAATTCAATTAAAACCCTATCATATACCATTGACTATAAGATCAAACTGGGAATATCTTTTGAAAAAATACACCAATAATATATCTCAAGAATTATCTATATTAGGTTTATTCTATTAATGACTACAACACAATGAAATAATTTTTAGATGAACCCAATCTTATATTTAAGAGAAATATTTACAATGAGTTTACCATTGAAAAAGTTTTACAAATGTATTAAATTTGATTATGAGTATGTTATAGGATATTGTTGATATTAATGTCCTAAGATTATTATATGAAGACACAATTGACAGTTTTAGCAAGTTGTTTTATAAAATTGATCACGATCTCATTATAAAAATTACCTCAACTATAATATCTATTCAATTATATAATAAAAATATCTTAGCTGAAAATAATGACAACGTTCATTTAACCAAGATGAAATTTTGGTAAAAATATTTATATATTTTAAAACTTTAATCTAAAGTACAGCCAAGGGAGGAGGGGGGGGGTAAATTTATATATTTTAAAACTTTAATCTAAAGTACAGCCAAGGGAGGAGGGGGGATTATGTTGGTAAATTTTAAAACCTTATAAATATCACTAAACCAATAAAAATTATTAAATAAATATGATATGGTGTTAAATTTGCAAGCTAGATTGTAAAACTCTTATCCAGAAGTTTTCCCTTTGCCAATATTTTTCTTTCTTATCTTACCTCATCCTGTGTATCATGAAATCTGGGAGAATATCATAATGAGGTGTAACTGGAATCTATATCTTCAAGTTCAATTATCTTAACATATTTTATTTATATAGTTTCATTTTCGATATGAACATTGTTGGGATTTTAATATAATAGGATGAACAAGATAAGATCTTGATTCTTTTCTCTAACTCAGAACACAAAATTAATATATTCGATCAAATAATGATATAAAATTGAACAGGGCAATTTTTATTTTAGATAACAATCCTCGATATTTAACTTTTGAAATCTAGGGTCTAGCAATAAGGCTAATAAATAAATAATGACACTAATACTGGAAATCAGTTATTGGAAATCTATGATCCAATTTATTACACATATTTTGTTTAAGAAGAGATTCAATATTTAATGTTATTATTGACCATCAAATGATTTGATATTTTACTAGTGAATAGTAGAGCAAAATTTATGATCATTCTTTTTGAGAAGATAAAAAAATCCTTTATATCTTTAAATTATTTTAGAAATTTCAAGAGATCATTTATTACCAATCAGAAATTAATAATTCAAGTTAATTTTTCTCCTTTTCTATTCAACATGAAAATAATTTGATATTTGTTGGTTCTACTCACATTTTCCAGTATCATTGAAATCAGTGGTCCCTACACTTTCTGAGTGATAGAAGCAGAATACCCCCTGAAAAATCCCCCACCCCTCATCAAAAAATTTGTTAATTATTTTTTGACACCCATAAATTTCAAAAATAATATTGCATCAATCTTAAATATATAATTTAAATAAAATGTAAAAAAAATATATACTTTAAAAATTTTATTTTTTAAATGAATAATTTAGACAAATTAGAGGAAGAGAAAGTGAAAGAATATATAATTTCATAAATATTATTGTTTAAATATATTTTTTTCCATTGATAAAATGATATTATTATTAAGAAATGGATCTTTCATGCTACTAAGTCTTGTTTTAATTAATTTTATTTTACTCATGACCCTTTTGGCAGTACATGAGGTAGCAGGAATGGTTAATAAATATTTATAGAAAATTGTTAAATTAGGGAAAGCAGAAAAATTTAAAAGTAAACGATAAGGTAACATAAACGAATAGTTTTTCCAGACTGAATCATCATCATCAGAAGAAGAAGCTAAATAATGTATTAGTTAAAATATTTTAATTAAATAAATTTACAATTCTCAAAATCTGACAAATCTTTAGACTCTTTAACCTCTAGGTCACGTGTAATAACTACACCCCCCCCCCCCGTTTAAACCATATTATAAATATTTCGAAACTTCAACATTTCTTCAAAAATTTGACTTGAATATGGTAAAATTCACAAATATCCTATATATCATCTTTAACGATTGACTTTTCCACCATTCCCTTTGGTGTAAAAAATGATGTTGGATTTAAATCAATCATCGATTCATCATTAAACTGCATAATAATCAAATCAAGTATTCGTCCAATTTTGAATTCTTAAAAGCTACTATTTCAAAGCTTTTCTTTATATCGTTAAATTATACCATGTCTTTTTCTAATGTGGTCTGTCCATTAATTATCTCTTATATTATGCCATGTGCAATTATTAACTAAGCATTTGTTTTTTTTGGTTAATATTTTTGAACATATTTTGAAATTGTAAAAAAAAATTTATGACAAAAAAAATTTATGACAAAAAATCTCGGATAACAACCTAATTTGCTAAACACCGACCAAAATTTACCTTTAATTGTTCGTTTTTCAACAGCCCAAACTTGCAAAATAAAATATTTCTAAAAAGAATTCGAGGACAAATATATTAATTTTATTTCATTTCTTTTCTTTTCTTTTCTTTATATATTTATTAAATAAATCATTAATCTAAAAAAAACAATTTTTTATATTAAACCCTTTTTAAATAATAACATATAATCAAAAAAAAAATATTCATCACCAAAAAGAACGACTTCGCACTTTAACATTAAAAAAAAAACTTACGATTTAACATAAAACAAAACGACCTTCATAACACGCCCCCACTAATTGAAAACCAAACTCCGCACTTCACCTCGCACCTGGCCTCTTCCCATAACTATTGCCTTTCATCGTATTTTCAACTATTCGAACCTTAACTATACTATCATTGTTCTTTAGGTCCTTGAGTCTTCCCTCTTTGTTCGACTATATAGTTGATTCCCTATATAAATCACTTCTTATTTGACTTAGTTCCATACCACTCCTGATATTATCAATTCCTGATTTCATTAATATTATCAATCACTCAGGTATTGATTTTGTTTATCTTTGGTTTAGTTGTCCCTATAGATTTTCCTCGGATATATTAAAATAAATTTTCCACCGCTTCGATCAATTAATTCCTCCTATTCATACTCCCGATTGTAATCTCCCAAGTTCCACGCCCCTTTTCAATTGATCTCGATGCCGTACTCCCTCTCTTCCGGCGGTGAATTTCACTCGATTTAATTTGTGTCCCATGTTTTCCATGATCACTCCAGATTCCCACCTTCTTGTCCCACACGGTTTGTCCCACTACAAACTCAGGCGTCTCACATATCCCCTCTTCCACCTCTTGACCCGGTTTCTGCTTTAATAAATCCAATAATATCCTGGTTCGCTTCCATATAAACCTTTTTTTCTCCCTTTCGACTATTGTTGTAATATGCCACGGCTATCCAAATTTTCACCTCCATACTTTGATTTTCTTAACCAGTTTTTGACAATCGACACCATCCTCTCCGCCTAACCATTTAAACTTGGATGATATGGCAGCGCTTAAATACTCTTTACCCCGGTTTTCATGCAAAACATCTTAAACTGTTCACTGATAAAAGCTGGACCTCCGTCAGATACTATCGTTTGAGCTACCCCGAACCTGGATCATAGATTTTTCAATGTTTTCACTACCATTTGCGTCATTAGCGCCCTTAATTCTTTGTACTCCACCCACTTTGAGTAAGCATCCACCACGAGTATATAAATCTTATTTTCAAAGTCACAACGTGTATCCGCTCCCACGGCTGAGTTGGCCAAACCTTTTCTTGTCCTTATGGGGCATTTTGACCCACGTATTGCACATCAAACAACTCCTACTGATATTTTCGATATCTCTATTTCTTTCTTTCTTCGAAAGTCACGACAATCCTTAAAATTTCCCATATTTCTTCCCCTAAAATCCTCCCCGATTTCTCCCCTAAAATTTCCTTCGATTTCTCCCTTAGAATTCCCCCCGATTTCTCCCCTAAAATTCTCCCCCCCTATTTCTCCCCTAGAATACCTTTCACCTTCTTCTCTTCCCCTTTCTTCCCCCAAAAATTTCTCAATTCCTGGCAATTTTTCTCCATAATAATTCATATCTATACTCTCCTCTCCTCTTTTAATGGGTAAAAATGTACCCCACCATGCGAATACACCCCAAAAACACAATTTAACCCTATTAGAATGATCCAGTCCCATCCCAATACCGCCTATACTCTTCGGTTTATTATCTTTAAATCCATTATCTCCCTTCTATCCTCCAACATTACCTTTAATTCCACCCTTCCCATTACAGCCATCTCTGATCCGTTCAACTGCCGGATCTTGATGTCTTCACGTTTAATCATTCCCTCCGCCCAAATACTCCTATACTTCTCATGACTTATCACGGAGATGGCCGCTCCGATATCAAACAACATGGAAGCCATATTTCCATTTAAATTTATCCACACCGGACAAGGATCATGTTCTATCTCTTGTATCATATTTTATCTCTTGTATCATATTTTATCTCTTGTATCAATTATATTTATGCATTTCAATTTTTACATCTTCTCTTTATTATTAAACTTTCCAATTTTTTTAAACCGTTGCCTCTCGACCCCTGTGGCCTGTTTTTCTCTATCATATAGTCACAAATACACACACTCTCTCGCCACATGTCCTTCCTTGCGGCATCGAAAGCAAATGATATTCAGATCTTTATTCTCCGTAAAATAAGGTATTCCTATCTAGTGAAGGTCACGGTCCGGACTGGACCGATACCCTCGGACCGGACCGGACCACGGTCCTTAAAAAAGATCGATCCAGACCGTGGTCCTAAATAAAAAGATCGATCCAGACCGTGGTCCAAAATAAAAAGACCGGTCCAGGACCGGTCTTTTTATTTGTTTAAAAAACATATTTTTTTTAACCTAACCTAATTTAATTTGTTTTATCATTTTATTAAACATTTTATTAAATATAAGAGTATTATATAAACAATATAAAATTAATTATGAATAATATAATATATTAATACAAATATTTAATTTAAATAAATGCTAATGTCTTTGTTTGTAGAACTTTCTTGGAAGGAATTAGAAGAGGGACTTAATGGAGGCGGTAGATCTATTCCATTCTTTAACCAAGAGCCCATACACATCAAAGCTTGTATTGTTTTGTTTGAAAGCCTATTCCTTTTTTTAGTGACAAGATCTCCTGCTTTCGAAAATATTTGTTCACAGGGGACAGATGTTGCTTGAATTGCTAAAAAATTTCTAGCTGCTAATGAGAGGACTGGAAATCTATATAATAAACTATATTGACTATTCAAAAAATATAAAAGACCTTTCACTATTGGCTTTCCACCATACTAATATGTCATCCTTTAATGAAACAAGAGGTTCATTCAAATAGGTGTGAAGTTCTGATATATTTTCTTCAATGATTTCTGCCGATATATAATCCCCTTCTGAATTTCAT